AAAATAAGTTTTCTTGGGTTTGCTTCAACACAGAAAAAGATTAATTTCTAATTTGTTGGAGTAGACTTTACTAAAGCATAATTAAAATCGCTCTTCTGGAAACCTTAATTTCCTCCGGAAGACTTCATTTGATGAATCCTTGCTACCAAAAATGTTCTTTTTTTTAAGTAGATACCAGAAATGTGGAGATAAAAATATTCTTTCTTAGAAAAAACATATTCTTTCTTAATATTGATTAGTCATAATTCAGAGATGGAATTTTAAATGTAATTACAACATTGAGCATAGTATTTTTTCTGATTACTTTTATAAATATGTCAGAAATTGGGATGTTTTATTATTTACTTGAGCAAATTGAGTAGACACTTGTGAAATTTTAAAGTGATGAATCAGGTCCATTTCAACAAGTTGTATATGATAGAATGGATATGTACTTTTTCTGTCCTGTATTAGGATAATCACCACTACCAGAAGCAAAATCTTAGTTAAAAGAGAGAGTTTTTCTTTGTCAAAGAAAAACAATAACTACAGTATATTTTAGTTAAATCAATATGTTTTTCCAATTAGGCATAAATGTGAAGTATTTCTTGAAACAAAAAAAGACTATTTTCAGTCAAAATGAAAAATTTAAAGGTGTTGTGTTATGCAGTTAGCTCATACCTTCCCTGTTGCATATTGACTGGACAGTAATGAAGGGCTTTTTTGTTTGTTGTTCAAGTCTTAAAACAGTGTCTTTATAGCAAGATAGATCAAAAAAGGAAAGAAAAACCCTTTCTGCCTATGCTATGTCATTAATCTCTGGTTGTGTGTATAACTTCGATCACTTATTTCAACAATTTCTTTAAAACACCAGCAGACATATTTGTGAACCTCCCTTAGTCCTGAAACCTCTTATACTTTTGATATATTTAAGGGGATGTGATGCAATATTTTTATAATAGATTATTTTGTGAGTACTGACTGTATCTTTTTCCTTTTTTGTGAATATTGGTTTAAAGCATGCGTTTTAGTTCTACCTGTTAGGTAATTGAAATTTATAAACTGAATTCTGGTATAGCTTATAAATCCTAGTAGTTCCTCTCCCTGAAAAAAAAAAAATCTATAATAGTACCCCATTTATACTGGGGCCTGTCTTTTTTGAGACCTCAAACATACTAGAAATAGATCAAATTCAAAGTTAAAAAATAAATGTAAATCAGCTGTTGGGAAGGAAGGAGATATTGGGGCTGGAGGATTGTCTCAGATCTCACAGAATTTTCTCCTCAGCGCATTGACTTAGACTTGTGTGTAAATTAAGACAGCAGATTTCATATTGCAGGAAGGATCAGACTCATTAAAAATTTTTTAAAAACCACAGTGTTCTGGTTCTATATGGTTTAAATACAAGTAGCCTGTAACACAGCAGATTTTGTTTACCATTCAGCAAACATTTCACGGACCCTAGTATGTTATAGACACTGTAGTTATTCTGGAGGATACAAAGGTGAACCAGACAAGATACTGTCTGCAGGAGCTTATTGTGTAGCAGGGGAGAAAAGGCATGCACACAGGTAAAACATAACAGAGGCAATTTTAGCATAATGATTAAACATTCACAGACCTAGGTTCAAGTCCAGCAGGGTGATCTTGGGCAGGTCTTTGAGCCTCAATATTCTTAACTTTCAAATGGGCATTAATAATGGTATCTACCTCACAGGCTTATAATAGGCTTTAGATAAGAAAATATGTATATAAAGGCCTTAGTAGGGTACCAGACTTTTAGCAAGAACTCAGTTAAGTGACAGCTCTCAGTATTAATATTGCCACTGCCAACACCACCATCCTTAGATCTCTGGGACCATAACTTTTATTTTCCACTGCCTTCATGGATCCATTCTGTCTAGGGTGCCTGGTGTATTATGATATCTCCTTATTTCTCCCTTTCAAAGAATGCACAGTGTATTGAAGCCTTGTCTTTTGGTATCTGACAAGCCTTGGCTTAAATCATTTTTCTTTCACTACCAGATTTCTGATATTGAGGAAGCAACAGGACTTGGTAACTGATAAGATGTTGATCAGCCAGGTACGGTGGCATGTACCTTTAGTACCAGCTACTTGGGAGGCTGAGGCTCATGTGTGAGGATTGCTTAAGCCCAGGAGTTCGAGGTTAGCCTGGGCAACACAGTGAGACCCCATCTCTTAAAAAAAAAAAAGGTTTTTGGGTAAAGGAGGAGGGGAGTCAAAGATGACTTCTAACTCAGAAAGGTTGGGAGTTTGTAATGCCTATTAAAATAGGAAACAGAGAAACATGAGCCCATTTTAGATGGTAAAAGTTTGGTTTTTAACATATGCAGTATTTGAGGTGGTTGTGAAGCATTCAGACTGATGTTCAGTTGGCTAGACTAGAAATTTTGGAGAGAAGTTGGCTCTATAATGTAGCAGTCATCTGTATAGGGCATTGCATCAACCATGGACTAGAATGAGATTCTAGAATCTAGAGGTAGAGACTGAGTGAGTAAGAGATGATCATGGCTAGGACAGAAGGACAACCAGGAAATAACACATATCTTAGGTTGAGAGAGGAGAAGTATCTGGAATGAGGGGTGACCTTTCACAAAGGGCTCCTGAAGTGTCAAGGAAAGTGAAAACTGAAACACTGTAATGGGGTTTGATGTCTGGAAGGTAATTGGGACCCTGGAAAGCAGTTATAGGAGAAGAGGGAAGATTGTAGTAAGTGCGGTATCCCAGCAATGCTTTTCTCCATATTATGGATGTTATTATTGATATTACTATAACCTTGGCCATCAGGAAAAGGTTAGTCAGTCTGGCAAATATATAGGTGAGAATCTTTTCTATACTGATAAAAATTTGGTGGTTGTCTCCATTTAAGGTCAAATTCATTTATAAGCAAAGTACTCTTTCAAAAACTGTGGATTTTTTTTTTTTTCTTAACACAATGCCCCCAAGACAAAAAACTGTGGATTTTAATAGCTCCCAAATGGGAAGTTCAGTGAACAAGTCTAATGATACGATAAATGTTTAAGTTTGGATATTATTCCCTCCTTAGGACTTGTGTTTGGGAAATATAGCAGCAAACCTTGTTGTTTGTATGGGAACAGATTTATTTTTTTTCAGCATAACATTTTTATTTTATTGATTCTTATGCTCTCTGAGGTTGAAATTCTACGATTGCATTCATTTTATAACATCTGACCAATGGCTTAAAGTTGAAAAGGGCCCTGGGAGATTTCTTGCTGTCAGAATTGTTTAATTCCTATTCTTGTCAAAATGTTGACCTTTATTGACTCTTCAGGTAGTGGTCTCTAATTAGAAACTCAAGTTGTAACTTACTGTATCTTAAAAAAAAAAACAAAAAGAGGAAGGGAAAAAGAAAAAGAAAAGAAGGAAAAGGAAAAAAAAAACTCCAACCAAACAATTAAAAAACCCAGAAAACGAATAATGGAAGGACCCTATAATCTTACAATTGTAGACCCATTAATTTGCTAAATATTCCTTTAAAACTATTTTCTCAACAAATTGTAGATTTTTCTCAGAATTAGATAAAAACAATGGGAGTTTTAGGCTTAATAATTCCACTATTAATCACTGTTTACATTAATCATTGAGAAAATGGTTTAAAACAAGACTTTTCAAAGCATTTATTGATCTATCAGGTCTTAATTCTGCAACAAGATACAATTTGCAAAACAAATCTTTTGTAAAGGATTTCAGATTGTCCATGCTTGTTTAATGCTTTAGGTAAGAGTGCTAGGTTTAGTGTAACTGTATGTAGCCTTTTGGTAAAGGAAATCTCAATGTCAAACACTATAAAATAGTACTAACCTTTTTCTTTTTTGGCTTACTTACATTTGAATATGTTTTTTTATGCAGTGGAGTTGCTCCTACTATGCATTTAAAGTGAAGCAACTTCTTTATGCTAGCCAAAAAAAAAAAAAATTTAAATTTTTTTTTTTTTTTTTGAGACAGTCTCCCTTTGTTGCCCAGGCTAGAGTGAGTGCCATAGCATCAGCCTAGCTCACAGCAACCTCAATTAAATTTTTTTTATACCAAAATTTTCTCTCCCAGGTAGCTTGAGAATTACCTTGGGGGTCTTGAGTTTTTCTTATAGTGCTGAAGCAGGTAATATTCTGGGGGGAAAAGTACATTGAAAGCGCCTGTAATCCTAGCACTGTGGGAGGCCTAGGTGGGCGGATTGCTCGAGGTCAGGAGTTCGAAACCAGCCTGAGCGAGACCCCATCTCTACTAAAAATAGAAATTATTTGACCAACTAAAAATATATATACAAAAATTTAGCAGGGTATGGTGGTGCATGCCTGTAGTCCCAGCTACACGGGAGGCTGAGGCAGTAGGATCGCTTGATACCTTGCTGTGAGCTAGGCTGACACCACGGCACTCACTCTAGCCTGGGCAACAAAGTGAGACTCTGTCTCAACAACAACAACAACAAAAAGTACATTGAAAGCAAAGATAAGCTTTTTTTTTTTTTTGCTGTTTTCCATGCAAACTACCACTATGGAAGTGATATGTGTCTTTATTTCTAAAAGAGTGTCAGCCTTTTAATTTTTCTCCAGAAAGTTATACTGTCTGCATATCTGGAATATAAATCATATAGATACGTTCTTAACTCCATAATATATCTTTATTTGAGGCACTCTGAGGATTCAACTATGAATTAGTTGATGCTCTCTAGCGTTTACCAATAGGTTATAATAATCAACTTTTATAATCTCTACCCTTAACTTATATTGTGATTAAAAGACAAAGGGGAATTATTGTGTAATGCTGGGGCATTTTAAGAGGGACATTAAAATCTTTTAATTTTTTCTCAAGTTATAGTCAGAGTTTCTATTAGCCAATATTCTTTACGTCAGGGTCTTTACAGATTCCTCCTAGTATTCAGTCCTAGGAAAATGTTTGACATTCCTGTTGAATTTATATATACTTTTATATTGTAGCAAGACTTACATAACCCAAATGTTTTTTTTTTCTTTTTGCTTTAGGTGCTAGGAAGACCAGAGGAAAATTATTCAGGTGACTACTAAAGTTTTTTTTTTAGTACTAAATTTTTTCCAACGAACTAGTACATTTTTATTTGTTCTTGATTTAAAAAACCTCCTAAGTATGTTTTTATATTGAAACCTGCTAATCCTTTTTTTTAAACAGCAAAATATAAGACACAAAAATTATATAGAAAATGGTTTGGGTGATCAAACATTATCAAAAAAGTATTATTTGATAAATATAGTTATAAATTTAAAAAATTACCCTAAAATTCTACTGTGTTTCCCTGAAAATAAGACAGGGTCTTATATTTATTTTTCCTCAAGAAGACACCCTGGGGCTTATTTTCAATCTACATTTATTCAAATATACTTAAGTCGTCTTCTTCTGGAACATCATCATAACTCTCCAAACCCCGAATTCCATCTGAATTTCTTGCGACTCTATTTCCTTTAGAATCATTAGCCCCAATCTCTCCTGTGGAGCAATAGAGCTCTTAAGGGGCAGATGAGAAGGGCTACTCGTCTTCTTTACTGCTCCATGATGAAAATGCATGGGTTATGCAGTTAGGCTGCGTAGCCATATCCATCGCTAGGTCTTATTTTCGGGGTAGGGCTTATATTGTGCAAATGCTTAGAAATCCTGCTAGGCCTTATTTTATGGGTAGGTCTTATTTTTGGGGAAACACGGTAGTAAATGAATTTTCATCTACCTTGGTGTTTATCACTTTTTAGGTTGCAAAACGAGCAGTAACTTTTGTCCTGTTTTGAGTGTCAATCTTGAGAATAGAGTTTTTCCATAAAGCATGAACTTTTAAATGGCATTTATTACTGTCTAATTTTCATTTTGGCTAAAATGTTGGCTTTATGCATTTATAGTATGGACAAAATTTCATTTGAAGATTATTGATATATGGAATTTTGAGAGTATATATTTAAAAGTTGTTCAAATGTATGTTGTATATTGGCTTACAATATATGATTTTTAAAAATTGGAAGGATGTATACCAGATGGTTAACAGCAGGTGGTTTGATGGTAGACTTGTTATTTTCCCCCTTTTTACTTATCTGTATTCCAATTTATTTATCTTAGGTGACGAATGTGTAAAAAAAAAAATCCTGTTTCTAGGAATCCATGAGGGCATTTTGGTTCACAAAGGGCCAAAGCCATTTTCAGTACTCACCTACACTAAAGGAAATAATGAATTTCATGAATAATTGCCTCAAAGTCATCCAGCACGAGGTGATGGCAAGTTTCCTTTGGCTTTAGCGAAAGTATATAACTTTTCTGATAATGCTGATTAGTAGATGGCCTCTTTCTTTGGTAATGATATGTCTGATTATTATAAATATATAATTATTACAGCTTAATTTAAGAGTGACTAAAACTTAGAGTTCCTGTTTCATTAAAAAACACCTTTTTGGTCTGTATACTTTGGAAGAGTAACTAAGTAATGCTTAGAAATCCAGTTGGAACATAGTTTCACTTTATAACATAATTTGTGTCCTCTTAATGCTAACATTCACTCATCTCAGGAAGTTTTAATTAGGACAGATGGAGTGGTGAAAAGGAGCAGTCTTTCAGTTTCTATTTGTTTAAGATACCGTGTTTCCCCGAAAATAAGACCTACTCATAAAATAAGCCCTAGCAGGATTTCTAAGCATTTGCACAATATAAGCCCTACCCCGAAAATAAGACCTAGTGATGAGTGTTGCTATGCAGTGTATCTGCACAACCCATGCATTTTGTCGCGGAGCAGTAAAGAAGATGAGCAGCCCTTCTTATCTGCCCCATCTGACAGCTACTATCCCAGAGGTGACTGGAAAGGTGCGGGCAGCCCCACCAACAAGGTCAGCTCTCCCTGTCAGGTCCCGGCCATCCTGTGCATGCTGCAGGCTGAGGCTTTGAGGGTAAAATAACACATCCCCTGAAAATAAGCCCTCAGGGTGTCTTCTTGAGGAAAAATAAATATAACACCCTGTCTTATTTATGGGGAAACACGGTACTATGCTGGGTGCTCTACCTATCTCATTTTGTTTTTATGACTACACTGAAGTTTAGGCATTATTAGCCTTAATTTAAACATGGGAAAACCAAGAATCAGGGAGAGGAAGTAACTCGTAAAAGTCTTAGGCAATTGAAATGATATTTCTAAATGTAATTGATATGTATGGCATTACTAATAGGCCATCACAATATAAATTTTATTTCATTAAGAATATATAATTTGTTAAATTTATGTGATAAGCATTTCATAAATGGAGCTTCTTAATAATATAACATTTAGGGGTTATTTAAAAAATGATCAGGCTATACCCACCCATGAAAATAACTTTCTCTGATTATTTAATACATACCATTATAAAGAATTTAAATAATATACAAGAATATAAAGAAGAAAATGAATATAAAGAAGAAAATCTCACTACCCTGTGATACAATAAAGGAGGAGTACCATAGTATTTTTCATTACTTTATACAAACTTACACAATTTTGTCACATGGAATATAGTTGTAAAGTACATTCCCAAGCTGGCCTGATGGTGCATGCCTATAGGCTCAGCTACTTGGGAGATTGAGGCAGTACAATCCCTTGAGCCCAGGAGTTCAAGACCAGCCTGGACAACATAGTGAGACCTTATCTCTTTAAAAAAAAAATCCAAGAAACCAAACAAACATCTCTGTACCCCATCAGCGCATACCATCGTCTTAACCCTTATTAACAATCTAGTATATGTCCTGTGTTTCTCTCCATGCTTAAATAATCTTTTGCTCTCTATATAATTCTATAATGATCTATATATACATTTATAGCAAATTTTTAGTCACTATCAGTGAATATTTGAGTAGTTTTTTTTTTAAATGCAAGGCTTTGTCCTAGCTGTGGGAGAGCTATAAGGAGGAATACTATATGGCCCATATTCTTAATCACTTTACAATCTAGGAGGAGAGGTGGGCAGGTAAACAACTTGTACCATACAAAACTTGCTTTGATAAACTGCTAAATGCAGAGTGGAAACACAGCCTGGGAATCCTGCAGGGGAGCTACCAGAGGGTAGAGGCCTTGCCATGTTATTTCTTGTGTGCATAAACCCCAACACATGGAATTATGTCCACTTGTCTGTAAATAAAGTCATGTGTTCAAGTGAAACAAAAAGATTATTTTGTTGACTTGTTTAAATGACTTAGTTCTTGCAGTTTGAGAGCTTAGTAGAGAAACAGTTTGTATATTTAAAAGTTTCTTGGGAATGGAATTTTCCATTCTCCCTTTAGGGAATTTTTTTTTTCCTTTAAGGCTTGGGCATTTTTGTAACAAGGAAGAGGGTGTATTAATAATATTTTGCTGTACAGTTTGGTCTGTATAGTGCATGACAATTTGAAGTTTTAGTTTGAGTAGTTATACTTTCTAACACAGAAATCTTTATTTACTCAAAAGTAACCTTAAGCATTTAGTTTGATCTTACATCTAGTTTTACAACAGTGCCTAGATTGAATGAATATTTACACATTTGCATATGCCAAATATAAAACTTGGATAATAGGAATATTGGGGAGAGTCAGGGTAGAAAACAAATCTCCAATGAAATGTATGGATTTCAGAATATTTGAAAAGAAATAATGTTTTATTAAAGTTTGGTGAATATTATAGAATATTCACTCAAGTGTTCAATTTGAATCTACCTTGTGGTCAACACTGTTTTAGATGCTAATGGAATATATATAAAGGAAATTAAACAGGGCTATGATCATATTCTCTTGAAGGAAAGACTGTTTCATTTAACATTGAAAGGATTGGTATAGTAAAACAGAAGCTACATGACTCAAGAGGGAAAACAATAAAAGCTGTCTGTAGTGAAAGATGTGTGTTTAGGACAAATGTTTTTGATTTTATCATAACCTTGAAAGAATCCTTAAGCTATCATGGTGGATACTAGCTTGCTCTTTATGGTGCCTTCAAACAGCTCACTATATTTTATTACCATGGTGACCAAAAGGGAAGGCTTATTGAATCACCAACTCATTTCCTAAACATAGCTCTTTTTGTATATGAAGGTCTTTATTCGGCATGACTTTGGGTTTCACTAGAGGATTTTTCTCTTCACTGGTGCTGAGTTACTGATAATTGAAAAAGAAAAGTTTCCAAACTTTGAAAGAGTTGATCTTATCTAATGTGGCTAATCTCAAAGGGATCTTGAATTCTTCCTGTCTTTATTTGAGGATAACTATTTTATTCCTTGGTCGGTGGTTCTACCTCTAAAATAAGTGGTTTGGATTCCAAAGCATTGTGTTTGAAGTTAAGAACACAGTACTTACTTTGTGTTTAACTCTAAGAAAGTTCTGTTCCTATCTTTAAAATACTTGTTTTAAAGATGATTATAAAAATCTACTTTTATCCATTTGAAAATGGTATTGTTTAAAATTTAAATATTCTAGATATTGCATTCAATTGGTTACATAATTTATCTTTGAAATAGTCTTTTTTATTTTTATATACTAGTGACAGTATTTTTACTCCTTTTTTTTTTGAGTCAGAGTCTCATGCTGTTGCCAGGCTAGAGTGACGTGGCGTCAGCCTCGCTCACAGCAACCTCAAACTCCTGGGCTCAAGCGATCCTACTGCCTCAGCCTCCCAAGTAGCTGGGACTACAGGCATGCACCACCATGCCCAGCTAATTTTTTCTATATGTTTTTAGTTGGCCAATTAATTTCTTTCTATTTTTTTAGTAGAGACGGGGGTCTTGCTCTTACTCAGGCTGGTTTCGAACTCCTAACCTTAAGTGATCCGCCCACCTTGGCCTCCCAGAGTGCTAGGATTATAGGCGTGAGTCACCGCAACCGGCCCATACTCTTAATATTTAGTATAGGATAGGTTTATGTTTATAAGAGACTACTAGTTTTGCAAAGTAGTTAGTTGTACCAACTTATATTCCCACCAGCAGTGTATGCCTATTCTAGTTCTGACATCTTCACCAACATTTGGTATTGTCAGTCTTTTAAACTTTAGCCATTTGTGTGGTGGTATCTTATTG